GTCCATCTTTGCTGAGTGAAAAAGGAAGGTGTGTGCCTGGAATTGCTCTGCCCTGGGAGCTGTGCCAGGGAACTCCTCAGTGGTGCCAGAGCACACAGGCAGTTGGGACCCCTTGTACCAGGGGGAGGGAGCACTTCCCACACAGGTTTGCCTTGCCAGAAAATGCTAATTTTCTTAATTCAGAAATAGTAAGAGACAGTCAGATTCACCTGACTTTCACCTTCTAAAAGTTAGGCTTGTAATTAAGGTATCATTAAATTCCTTCACTGTTGAGTGAAGAGGAGGCATCTCCACTCAGGGGTTCATTTTGCTTGTCTTGAATAAGATGAATCATGCCCTTTTTCCTTCTTGCTTTCTCTTTCTCCCTTCCTTTCCTTTTCTGTTTCTTTCCTTCTCCCTTCCTCAGCACTGTAGAAGCAGACAAGACAATTAACTTCAGTCAATCACCCAACTTTAAGACAGCTCAGGTCAGCGAGGTGAACCTCACCTAAAAGGCAGGAATGGGAACCAATGTTTGCTTCCACTGAAGAGCCCTTCCCAGGATACCAAATCTGAGCTTTCATACTTGTTGTGAATTGGGAAAAAAATGTTATTTGTGTGCATGTACAATTTTAAAATAACAGTGTAAAAGCAGGAAGAGGAACAGAAAAATCCTTTTTCTACCCCAAGACAATTAATTCCCTAGGAACAAACATTTCATTCAGACACATTAATGGGGGGGGAACTTCTGTCTTTGGAAAATAATTTTTTCTTTTGAAAAATGTGTTCTTTGGGGTGGGCTGGTAATGCCCTTTGCTGTGCTGAAGCTCAGTGTGTTTAAGTGACAGAAGTGGGGAGAAGGATGCCCTGTGCTGTACTTGGCTGCACAGCCCTGAACTGAGTCTGCCCAACAAGTTAGGAAGGAAGGAATTCAAGATGATGATGAGCTCGTGCAGAGCATTCCCTTACAAACACAGAATGGGATTTTCTTCCTTCTCTGCTGCTCAAACTGGACAAGGAATAAAGCTCATGGTGCAGGAATGAACAAAAAGGGAGGGGCTCCAAAAAGGCAGGGAAACTGTTCCAGGTATGGGGAACAGCCTCCCTGGAGCAGGAGGCAGTAAGGCATATTCTTCTGTTTCAGGGGCCAGGAAAAGATGTCATGCAGTGCTGTCTGGTGTCTGGTAGGCACATTCCCTGGATGAGGTGGAGGCAGTGTGTGATGAGGCACACCAGAGCTGCTGCAGACTGCTGCCATGTGCAGGCTGCATGGAGAAGAGCAGAGGTTCAGGGGCAAAACACTGGGGTCTTTTCCCTGCAGTACTTGGGCTCAAGCTCCTGTTGTGTCTGATTCTGAGCAGATGAGAGTCCACACTCCTCTATCCTGCTGTCAGAGAAGATCATCTGACCTTACAGAAGGAAAGGTGATAATTAGCTCCAAGTGAAGGCCCATAGGCTGAGAGGTGGCAGTGGGTGTCGGAGGCCCTTTCCTGTGGAGATGAGCTGGTTTGCCATCAGTCTGTAGGGATTGCTGCCCCCAGCCCTTGAGTGGCCCTTCCTCTCAGGAGCTGTTCCTGCAGCAGCCTGTTCCGTGCCTGCCGTGGGGCTCGGAGCCTGAGCTCGCAGTTGTTGCTCCTGCTGGTTTGTTTGGGTTTCTGTTCCTCCTCACTGCTGCCTTTGGCACAGGACAGCCTTGGAGTGTTCTGGAGCACTGTTATTTCGGGGTGTGAAAGAGTCTTAGGCCTTTAATCTGGGAATACAAACTACATCTGTCACCTGGGTATCTGTGGCGGTTTCTAAGCAACCGCAAGAGTTTATTTTTTTCTGCAATTCATATTTAAGAAATAATTTGCTCATGCATGAACCAGAATCAGCCTGAGCACCACCCCAGGAGACAGAAATTGTAAACTGTAATTTAGGCTAATTCTAGTCTAAAGCATGAATTAGAGTATTTTATGTAATCTTGAAAAATATACCATATAAATAAATGTAAGCACAGAACAGGTACAATTAATTTGAGCACAGTAGGAAGCTTTAAGTAACTCTGGGAATGTGAGAAACCAAGTCAGAACATATTCTTGACATGTAAAAATATTTCCCACCTGCCTTGTTTGCATAAGAACGAGGTTTTAGCAAGTACATATTTGCATGTCAAAGTTAAAAGTGGGGAAAATATTTTCACCCTTGTAAGAAAAAATGCATAATCTTGGCACAGGCAATTTGCATTTAGTGAGTTTAAAGTATCTTAAGTCCTTTCATGCTACATGGAAAGTGTATGAACGTGCCAGGGGTTCCATCTCAGTGAGTGCATTTGCAGAGGCCCCACGTGGAGCAGGAATTGATCTGATCTCTCTGCGTTCATCTGGACCACAATTGGCTGTGGCAGTGCCAGTGACTGCTGCTGCTGAGATCATCTGCTGGCCTGAGTCTGGCAGTGACACAGGAGCTCGGGGCTTTGAATGCTCTCTGCCTAATTGAAAGGAGGTACCTTGGAGATGTCAGTTTGGGGAAATCTGGAATTTTAAAACCGCACCTGATTTGGTGCCATTGCTCGTACAGAGCACGGTGGGCGAATGCTGGCACAGCTGGAGCCTGTGCCTCTGTGGGGATTCTCTTCTGCCAGTAAAGCACCCTGGAAAATGCATTTGGGACTAATTATGGCACCTTTCAGACTATTACTAACCTAGCTTTAGGCCATCACTTTGAAGGCATGGTACATTCCTTCAGAAACCCTCTGCAAATGTCCTGTTGCTTAAGAAACAGGGATTGCATGGACAGGCTTCATGGGTGATTTAACTAACGTGCTGGAGATTGTAGATAAACCAGATCCAATTATATCATACCTCTTCAAAATAAGGCAGTAATTATGACTATAAATGTGAAATGTAAAAAATACATTGCCATGGAGCTGTGGAGATAAGCCTTGTGAGTGCCCTGTCCAAGGAGCTGCACAAGGCTGCTGATTCACTGCAGCAGGCACAGAAATAATCCTGAGTTGGAAAGGCACCACTGGGATTTGGTGGAGCTATTCTGGAATTTGCCCACAGGATTGCTCTCTGAATTTGAGCTGCACATGGTACAGATTCGGAGTTCCAGTGGATTCCAGCCTGTTCCTCAGTTTGTGGATGTGAGGGGGCTGTGCCGCCCCTTGTGCTCCCAGCTTTGTTCCTAAACACATGATGCTCCAGTAATAATTTATGTAACACATTAATGAACCAGCATACACATTATTTTTCCTGTTTATTAGTTCACTTCCTGCTCTGTTGTGTTTAATGTGTTTGCTGAGAGCAAAGTGAAATCAAAACCGTTCTGGGGGAAGAAGTGTTTCCTTCCTTAAGTGTCCTGAGCAGACCTTTTGATTCAGGCTGTGGTTTTGTCACTGCAGGGATGGTGGGGGATTAAAGGTCAGGAATACAAAGGTATTTGCAGTGGAAGCAGGTGCAAGTGGTGTCCTGCTGTATGAAACATCCTGCAGGCTGCAGTGAACTGAGTGTAGTCCATGGCTGCTGGGCTCTGCTTTCCCCAGCAGACCATTGCAGCTGCTCTTGGGTTCCTGGGAGCAAAGAAGTCCCATTTGGGTGCTACTCAGCTGCCCCCATCCTTGCCCTGGGTGTCACCTGGAGAATTTTTGAAGGAGTATTTCAGCACAGTCAGTGCTGTGGTGCAAGTCTCGTGCTCTTCTGCTTTTTAGTTATCTCCTGGTTTGGGCCAGATCGTGAGCTGCAGTGGACTGGAGCACACAGGAGCACTGCAGGATGATTCTTATTTAATAAGAACCAGCCAGTGAGGGATTCAGTGGCATGTAAAATGCAGTGTTTTTAGGAGCAGACATGAATTTTTGAGAGCAGTGTGGAGTACAACTGCAGTTAAGCTGCTGCACTGTAAGGCAGTAGCATTAGATGGGATTTTACGTGTTGTCACAGCCTGGATAGCTGACCTGGATGAAATAGGAGCTCTCTTCACCAGGCAGGCAGCTGGTGAATGGATTTCAGTTCCTCAGGGAGGTGAACACGCTGGGCAATGTGTCACGGGCACAGCACGAGGTGTGTTTGTCCTGCTCACACCGACGGGTCAGGGCCCTGCTGAGCCTCATCCCCACACCCCTGCGGCACAGGGGGCTTTCCTGGGGGCTCCAGTTCCCTGCCTGGGGGGGTGTTTGTGAGCACACCCAGGCACGTGTAAATGTGCTGTCTGATAGGGTGAAGCGGTGCCTTAACACGGCCCTGTCCAAACAGACTTGCCAGTGAAATGCTGCAGCCAGGGCCCCAAAAGAGGGGTGTTCTGGGGGTACAGGAGTGCCCTCTTACACCTCCACACTCAGATGGGAAGGTGCTTGATTTAGAGATAGTCACACACTGAACTGAGTTCAGTAGGTGTGTTTCTGTGTATGAATTCCAGCACTGAAAGGAGGCTTTCAGACCTTACAGCTGTGCAGCATTTTCTGCAGTAAATGGACTCGAGTGCTCTGTGTTCTGTGGTAGATAACTCACAAATACCTGCTGATGGTTCCCTTTCTGGTCAGATACAAGAGTCAGGGATTTTTCATGCAAAATGCAGTTGTTCTTCACCCTGTTCCTCCCCTGAGGACTGGCCATGGGAGCTGGGTGGCCCCTCTGGGAAAAGTGGTGCATTTGATTCCAGGCAGGGCAAATTTAAAACTGCCTGCTATGATCTCACATGGATACGACTGGAAGAGACCTTTCTAGTGTCATCTTAGCTCTTTGGCCAAAATGTGAACTCTCCTACTCTTTTTGGCTTTGAAATGCTGATTCCAGCCTTCTTGTGGGTTCTTAAACACCTTCTCAAATGACCCATTTTAATAACCCAAAAGCTATTATATAACGAGCAGCCATAATTTAGTCCAAAGCTCTAGGGGATCCTTGCAGTTCAGCAATGAATAGTTAATGCAGTATAATGTTTAGCAGGTTATTAGTTTTCACTGTACAAATGCTGATCAGGGAATGCTTTTATAAGGTGTTTAAGAGAAAATGTAATTAACTGGTTGCGTGCTTCTGTTGCAGCTCAAATTGAAATTATTCCATGCAAGATCTGTGGAGACAAATCATCAGGAATCCATTATGGTGTCATTACATGTGAAGGCTGCAAGGTAAGCTTCTAAAATATTAAGTCTGAAAACAGCACTTAGCCTTTCAATAGTGATTATTTTCCTTCCTTTTTTTAAAGAGCAAGCATTGGGCCTAAGCAGGATCAGTGGATTCCATTTCAAAGAATATAAAACTGTTGGGGATTCTGAAGTACTGATTTTAAATAGTACATTTCCGTGACACACACACCTGCACTGCCACAGATTTCAGGACAATCCTCAGACTTCCAGAGTTGTGCTGTGTGTGCTGTAAACTGCCTTTCTCTGAGTCAGCAGAGCAGGTACAGGAGGATGATCTGCTTCAGGCAGAGCAGCAGGAGCCAGCTCGGTGGGTTCAGCCCAGGGGGAGTTGGGCTTTCCTGCCTCTCCCTCTCTGGTTTTGCTCTGTAAAGTGCTGTGAAGCTGTGCAGGAATAGGTGGGAGCTCTGTGCCCCTCGTTTTGGTTTGTGCTCAGCTGCAGTTACCAGTCCGTTCCCTTTGGCAGGAGATGGTGTTTCCACACTCAGGTCCTGCTGGAAGCAGTGCCTGTTCCTGCAGTGCAGGCGCTGCTGTGTGAGGTTTGGGCTCTGGGTTTTGTCCTGGAGCTGGACCCTTGGTAGCTGTAGTGAGCAAGGATTACACCAGCAGCATTTCTGTTCTGTTCAGTGTGTCTGTCACAAGCAGGAGTTAAACTGCACAGTGCCAGGTGAGAGTGGAGTGCAGCTGATCAGTCCTTCTGATACCAGTGCAGGATGGCAGCCCTGGCTTGGGGTGACACTGCACAGCCAGGCTCCTGCTTGCTGCTCTCTTCCTGTGGGTACATGTTGCAGTCCCCTGCTGGTAGGTTTTCTCCTGTTAATCTACACTTCAGGTGTGAGGAATTTATGGCAGTTTTTAGTCTGCTTTCCTGACATGGTTGATACCACCCCTCTTCCCTTCACATTGTAAAGACTCACATTCACATTGTAAAGATTTCTTCTGCGGTTTTCCAAAGGTTTTTGTGTTTTCAGTAACACATTCTCTGAGTCTCGTGGAAATATTGGTAAGAAGAAAGGAAAAAGAATAAATTTAAGGATCTTGGAATGATATGGGAAGAGCACCTTCTGCCCTTTCTGACTGGTGTTGCTATGGAAAATGCAAGAAATGCACTAAAAATGTATTGATGACAAAGTGGTGAGTTTTTGCAGGTTTGTGTGGCTGAGCAGACTTTATCAAATATCAGCTGAGGGAAGTGGCAGATGTTTGCAGGGAGAGTTCTGCTGTGGGACTGTCTTGTCAAAGGAGATCCAGTTATGTCCAAGGTCCGAGATCTCTTTAATGCTTAGATGGTCTGGGACGTGGATAAGTGAGGGGCTGCCTGGAGACCCCTGGCACACATCCTGGCACACAGACAGGCTGGGGAGGTGCTCGTGGGCCTTCTCCACACGGCTGTTGTGGGGCAGGAGGGGAGCAGCCCCAGTGCTCACACTCCCCTGGGCACTGCAGGTGAGCCAGGGCTGCCCACGGAGCGTTCCTCCCTTGGAGTGGCTGCTTTTCCAGAGTAAATGCAGATGGGAGTTATGAGCAGAAGGGCCCTTTGTGCACCCCCAGCAGTCAGAACTCCAGATGTCTGCCTGATAGTGAGGAATGTGTGTGCAGCTCCTTACGTGTCAGAACAAAGGCTCTTCCTTTGCTGTATAAACTGCAGGGCTGAGGATCCACTGGCACGGTCAGCTGGGGGGAAGGGCAGAGGGCAGGGCAAGCAGGCAGGTGTGCTGAGCACACTGAAACACGTTTGAACCTCAGGGCACAGCGTGCTAAGGAAAACAGTGGCCCTGTGGATGAGTTTGGCATTTTGTCCCTCTCTTGGAAGAGCACGATAAAGTTTTACAGGCATACAGATTCAGGCAGAATTTAAAAGTCAACGAATATCAACTTAGTTAACTGAGTTTGTTTCCTCTCAGGAGAGAAATAACTCACAGCTCACTCTTCCTAGTGCCAGAGCCCAGATGACCTGCAGGTAGTGACAGACAGGCAGTGCTGGTGGGCACAAGTCACAGCAAGAGCTGAAATGATGGTGACCCAAAGGGCACTGAAATGCCCTGCTGTGGCAAATGGATTCTGTTTGTGCTACGCTTTCCACAGTAATGTCAACAAAGTCTCACCCAGCAGAACTATTTTGGCTGGTGAAAAGGTTGGCATAGCTTGGCTTCTGCCAGAGGAGCCAGGTGTGTGTAGGAATGGTTTTTTTCCCAGCTTTTCTGTGGCTGTGATGCTGCAGGTTGGAGCATGCTTGCATTGCTGCTCACGTCCTGCTAAACCCTCCTTGGGAACGAGGGCTTGCTGGGAAGACCCAGCTCCAGTGCTGTGCTCTGGCTGGAGCCAGCAGTCCCAGGCACTCGGGGTCCTGCCATCCTGTGGATCTGGGGGCAGGAGCAGGGCCTGAGCTGGCAGCAGGGAGCAGATGTGCTGCTGCCCTCTGCAACCTGCCTGTCGGGAGGGACCTACAGGCAGCAACAGCAGCAGCAAAGCAGGGCGTTCTCATCTCCTACTGATTGTCCCTCCAGTTTGGTGTGAACTTCGATGTTACTCAGTAGTAACATGAACTGAAATGTTACTGTGCAAATACTAATAACCACCAGAAATACAATTTATTTAAAACCCGAAGGGAAGTTTTAGTTGCAGAGACATACGTGGCAGTTCTAATGTGTATCCTGTGTGGAATCACAGACCAGCTCAGGGCAAATGGACTGTTGCTGATCGTGTTGCTCTTCTGCAGGTCAGCAACCCTTGCATTTCAGAGTTGAAGGTTTCCTGACCGTTTTGGTTTTTGTTATATTGCATTTCACATGACTAGAACTGAAGGTTTGTGATGAAACCCATTAGTGTTTTTCGAGAAGTTTTCGTTTCCTCCCCTGCTGTGATGTTGCTGACAGTTTTTATGAAGTTAGTGGCAGTGTTTTCACAAGCACCATTGAGTGCTCCTAACCCATCAGCCTATTTAGCTGAATTTGAATATGCCTTTAAAAAGATAAAATTAACACCTCTCCTTCCCACAAGTGAAAAATTAATTTTTTTAGCTGGGCTGTGTTTTACACTTTATCCAGGAGGGCTCCTGTGGCTTATTAGAGATGAAAATACCTTTTAAAAGAGAGGGTTCTTTTTCTCTCTGACCATTGCTGATATCCAGTATACAACATATAATGGGGGGAAAAGGAAGATGAGATGATTAATCACATAAGGATTTCACTCAGGAGCATGGATGAGGAATGACAAAGACTGTGCCACAGCTCAGCAAGTAGAAGTCTGTTGTGCTGTGTGAGAGTGGGAATACTCTGTTGTAGGAGCACTACTGGAAAAGCTGGCATCTGCATGGAGCCCCTCCTCAGCCAGGAGCTGTGGGAACCCCTTCCCAACCTGTGTCTGTAGGAGGGACCGTGCTGGGAGAGGAGAGTGGTTGGTACACGCATCCCTGCTCTTTACTCATAGCTGAAAGTGGAATCCAGTTCCAGGCTGTCAGAAAACACCTGAATGTTTCAAGGGGCATAGCAAGGAATTCAGTTTGAAATGAAGTTTGTTAATGACCTGTGTAATTTAACTTGATTCCCAGATGCAGTTTCCTGCCTGTGCAGTCAGCAGGGTCGGTTCATGCCCAGCTGCCCCACGAGTGCCTTGTGGGATCGCTCCCTTTACCTGACTCTGCACAGCTGGTCTGGCAGAGCCACCCCAGGGCACTGCTGGGCTCTTCTGCTCTCACAGGTTCAGCAGTGCTGGCTTTCATCTCTTGTGTCTTTTAAGACCAAAGATGACCTTGTCCAGTGTAACTGCAAAGAACATCTGGGTTCATTACTGCAGGAAACAAGACCCGGTGTGCTGTCCCTGCCCTTACTGCATTACCTTTGTTTGTTGATAAACACAAGCTCACTCCTGTCTTTATTACCCGTGTAAAACTGAACATTTTTGCTCTGTTAACAGGGGCACTGTAACTTTATTATCAAGTATTTTATTAACGTAGTTTAGTAGACAATATTGTCACAGTGCCCTCCTCCTTTACAAGTAAAATATTTGCTCATTTTTGTAAAGGGTTAAAAATCCCATTTGAATGCTGGCCTGTCTGTCGTATCACTGCATTTTTGTGATGTTCCTTTGAAGAAAATCTGTGGTGGTTTGCTTTGGAAAACAGTAAAAGAATGACTCCCCCCCCAACTAATTGTTAATTGCTCAGAATATTGCAAAACTTAATGATACGTGGAAGTCTTTAAGTATTAGCCATAAATCATGGGATTATGAATAAGCCTTTGTTGTCACAGGCTCACACACAGTCATTCCAAGCCCTGTGCCATTAGGATGCAGCAAGGCAGCTGTCAGCTGTTTTCTTGTAATTAAACAGCCAATGAGCAGCTAATTAAGACATATGTGTATACAGAAGTGGAAGTGGGTATGTTAATGAACTGTAGGAATCAATTCATTAAATGAAAATTTGTCAAAAGACCAAACATGAGCTCAGCGTTGCAGCCCGAGCCGGTGGAGGAGCCGGGCTGTGCTCTGGGACACGGCAGGCACGGCTGGGTGAGGAGCAGCTCAGACACCCCCGGCTCCCTGCCGAGCCTCCAGCACCCAGCTCACCCAAACTATTAATAGACTCTGCAAAAACTGCTATTTACATTTCAAAGGTCCTTTCTAACGAGTTGTTATTCAAACTGACTCGCAGATGAAAAGTTCTTGCGCCCTTTTTCCCCCCCAAACCTGATTTCTTGGCAGCCTATGAAAACCCATAGATTGTTTGAGTATAAATAGGAGTCTGAAACGCAGAGACGAGGCCGGGGCTCACAATCTGCTCTGCTCTTGCTCTGGCAGCACGGCCGTGCATCTGCACATAGAGGGCTGTGCAGAGCTGCAGTGGAGTAGGATCTGTGTGCAGGCACAGAGAGGGGCTGTGCAGAGCTGCAGTGGAGCAGGGTCTGTGTGCAGGCACAGAGAGGGCCTTGCAGAGCTGCAGTGGAGCAGGATCTGTGTGCAGGCACAGAGAGGGGCGTGCAGAGCTGCAGTGGAGCAGGATCTGTGTGCAGGCACAGAGAGGGGCTGTGCAGAGCAGAGCTGCAGTGGAGCAGGGTCTGTGTGCAGGCACAGAGAGGGGCTGTGCAGAGCAGAGCTGCAGTGGAGTGGGATCTGTGTGCAGGCACAGAGAGGGGCTGTGCAGAGCTGCAGTGGAGCAGGATCTGTGTGCAGGCACAGAGAGGGCCTTGCAGAGCTGCAGTGGAGCAGGATCTGTGCGCAGGGGCTCTGAGTGCCCGTCAGTGCCGGGGTGTCCAGCAGCAGCAGCAGGCTCCTGGCACTGGAGCTGCTCCTGTGGGGCGTGAGGGGCTGTGAACACCCCTGCCATTACAGGCCTTGCACAGCGCTGGTGCCTGCACGTGCACCCAGCGTGCATCCACCTCCTCTTCCTGCGGGCACTCACAGCCAGCTCCCGGCCTCGGCCTCGGGCAGGAGTGAGGCTGGAACAGCCCAACACGCCTCTCCTCCTCTGCTTTTAATGAAGGGCTAAAAACAACCTGCAAAGAAACTGTATTTACTCCTGTCTTAGGGGCTTCCCCCGGGTCTTACTGTGATTGTGAGAGCGCAAGGACCACCAAAAGCTTGGAAAACTCACAAGGGAAGGACAGCAATGTAGAAGAACTCTGAGAGCACAAACCCCTCGGTTGACCTTCATTGTAAATTCACTCCCAAATCTCAGATACATGTGTTTCTGTGCTCTGGACAAGTTTAGATTAGTTTCTGAAGTTTGTGGCAAGGTGGTTTTTTTGTTTCTTTAGCTCCTGCTGATCTTTTCATGGGGTTTGTTTTTAAAAGCACTTACTGTATCCCTGGTTTGTAAAGTGCAAGTGCTTTTAAAGGCCCCGGTTTCAGGCAGTTCTGCTGTACTGAAAATTTAGCTTGAAGCTGTAACTTAGTTGATACATGGTACACTAAAATGTATTGAGCAGCTGTGTCTCTAGGGAAAATCTGCAAAAGGAAAAAGCCCAGTATTTTCTCCATTATAATACTAAAAATAATCCTCAGTTTGACAAGACTATTCTTAATAAAGAGAAATATGCCACACTGGCAGCTCAGACTCAGTATGTACCTCAGCTCAAGGAGAACGCAGATCCTGGAGGTGACTGGGACACGTTGATTAAGCTGACTCCCAGGAGCTCGGTGGTGGCAGAAGAGTTCATGCAGTTCCTCTCTGTGTGTAATTCAGTGCAACTGGAAAGGTGTTTGTTGAACTGAAATTTTGGGGGGCTGATGCAGAGCCTCGATCAGCCAGCCACGGGCCAGTGCAGTCCCTGGGGCTGTTCTCTGGTGGATGGTGCTGCTCTTGCCTGTGGACCTGCACTGCAGGGACAGTGCCCGTGAAGGTGCTCTCAGAACTGAAGTGGAGCTCTCTGGCCTAAGAGTTCCTCCAGAGGGATCAGTTGTGATGTTGGAGTGGTAGAAATTTCCATGGTATTTCAGGTTCTCTTTAGGATGAAATGCACTCAATTGGAGCTCAATATGTGCAGTACAATCATCTCACTATTGACAAACCTGGGAAAACAGCTGAAAGTTAATCAAACAGAAACAAAGAGCAGCATAAAGGGGTGAGAAATAACGTACAGGAGAACAGGATTGAAGACAGCACCAAGAATTTCCTTCTTTTTTTTTATACCCCATGTTTCCCCAGTAAAGCTTTCATGAAAGGGGCCTGCTGGACCCAGACTGGTGCCCTCCTCTTAAGATGAAGCAGGGGCTTTGTCTCAGTGTTTTCCCATGTCTCTGTCTGCAGGCAGTTTGTTAGGAAGTCTCTCCCTTCAGACTTGCCATGCAGAAGCCCTTTCCCTTGTTTGTCTCCCCCGGTGTCTGGACAGAGTGTGCTGTGCCGAGGGACTCCAGCCTGCAGCCCTCGAGTAAACAAAACATTGGGAAAAGTCCAGCTTTAATTAAAAGGTGCCCAGCCTTGCCGAGGAACTATTTTCTTTGCAGCACTGTTAATTAATCCATTATGTGGCAACGTAAAACTGAAATAGTGTGCTCGCTGATCTCAAGTGCCTCTTCAGAATGACTCCATCTTCACAGAATCCTTGTGAAGTAGTTCTTACACACACAGCAGCTCGTGTTTGGGCAGTCTGTGGCTGAAGGATGGCCTGGAGTTCAGAGCGGCAGTGGTGTAGCGGGTGGTGACACGCACCGCTCCCGGGTGAGGCAGCAAAGCTGTGTGGAGCCTCCCAGCACTGCCCTCCCTTGGGCACGGGGTTACTCAGCAAAGACATCCTCCAGAAAACGTGGGTTAGCCTTCCCCCTCCCTAAGAGTGTAAACCCTGCCCCCAGTTTAGCAGAACCTCAGCTGGCAGCATCAGAGTGACTCACAAAGGAGCAGCGATGGGGTGGCTGGGGCAGGGACTCTGTGCTGGCACTGCTGGGGCACCTCCAGTGCTGGGGCAGTTCTGAGCCCCTCACAACGAAGGCACTGCGGGGCTGGAGCGTGTGCAGGGAAGAGAACGGAGCTGGGAAGGGGCTGGAGCAGCTGAGGGAGCTGGGGGGGCTCAGCCTGGAGAAAAAGAGGCTCGGGGGGACCTTCTGGCTCTGCAACTCCCTGACAGGAGGGGGGAGCCGGGGGAGGTCGGGCTCTGCTCCCAGGCAGCCGACAAGAAAAGGGCGTCTGGTTGTGGCAGGAGAAGTTTAGGTGAAACTTCTTCACTGAAAGGGTGGTCGGGCTTTGGAGCAGGCTATCCAAGGAAATGGTGGAATCATTATCCCTGGAAGTGCTGGAAAAGGCATGTGGATGTGGCCCTTGGGGTTTAGGGGCAAGTCGTGCTGGGATAACGGTTGGGCTCGATGGTCTTGGAGGTCTTTTCCAACCTTAATGATTCTGTGAGTATATAAAATTCCTTTAAGAAGTTGTTCTTTGTGGGAGACAGTGCTCAGCATCGTGCTGAGTATTTTTAAACACGTACATACATGGGTGAGGCTGAACGTCAGAGCCTGCCACTGCAGAGAGCAGAACAGGGGAGCAGCTGCTGAATCCTCCCTGTTTTGGAGATCTCTGCAGACCCAGGAAAGATAGGAAATCAAGGCAATCTAGGTCTATAATTAGTTTTATCTCCTTTGGAAAGAACTGGTGTGCCATATGTAATACAGGATCTGTAAAATCAGTGAATAAACCTGCATTTCCTTTACATGTTGTAACACTTTTTTACGAACTGTTCCTTGCTAGTTACTGTTTTTTGTTTGTTTCTAGGAGAGAAAAAAAACCCCACCAACAAAACCCTCTTAAGTTCCTTTAGTTGACTCTAGAGCCCCTGAACTTCATGTTCTGTTAGGTACGCTGCCTTTCAGAGTCTCTCTCTGCTGCACCAGTTAACAGCTTCTTGACTTGTGTTTTGCACTCGCACGGCAGGGCTTTTTCAGGAGGAGTCAGCAGAGCAATGCCACGTACTCCTGTCCCCGGCAGAAGAACTGTCTGATCGACCGCACCAGCCGCAACCGCTGCCAGCACTGCCGGCTGCAGAAATGCCTTGCTGTGGGGATGTCTCGGGATGGTAAGCTCTGCTCACACGGCCTGGCTGCTCTGAGGGAGGGCTCAGCTCAAACCCACGGCATTTACAGGCTACTTGTGCCTTGGGCTGATGCTTGAGGACATCAGGTGTTTTTAGATGTTGCTGTGTGTTTTTCTGTGTTACACGTTGTATGTTTTTGCATTTTATACGTAAATACCAGGGCATGGATGAAGTTCTTGGATTTATTTTTTTTCCTACTCATCTGTTACAGTTCCCAGTTAAGAGCTTTGTATATGGTCACTTCTTGAAGATGCAGATTTTTAGTCTGATGTTAATACTTTATTCCAGCTAAGTGACCTACTGTGGTTGCAAGTTAACGCTGCCTGGGTGCAGGTCAAAACTGTTTCCCAATGTCAAGAGAAGTTGAATTGTATATAATGAATAATGAAAAAAAAATGCAAAGAGAAAAATAATGCAGTGTTTTTTCAAAGGTAGAACTCTGAAGAAAATCTGTTCCAGTGCTGTGAATGCTGAGCTCAGAATTGCAGCTGGAGTAGTGAGGAAAGGCTGGCTCTGTAAGACGGACACTTGTGTAATTCAGTTAGAATTGGCTTTGCAGCTGGTACTTGCACTCCTGCCCTTCAGGTGGGAGCTGCCACCACTTACCCAATCTGAAGATCAGTCACTCTTCTCCCCTGCCAGGGTGACAGCAGTGCTCTGTGTTCTACAAACACACACACGTTACTCTGGGTACATGAGGCCCCACTGAAGAGACTGTTTCCAGATTACATTTACTTCTTGAATTACATTGTCTTCATTTTTTTATTGGGCACGAGACTGAAAGCCTGCAACAACTGATCATGTAATGACTGGTTCCTCCAACAAGTTTGCTTTCCTGTAGAAAAGCAGAAGGCAGTATTCACCTTTCTAAAGGACAGGGCTTTTACAGCTGACACAGGTCCCTGAAATCACATCTCCTGAGGAATTCCCTGGATGCTGCAAACCAGCTGCTGCTGACTGACAGCTCATACCTCTCAAAGCAGTAGTAATTTGTGTGTGCACGTGTGTACATACACACACACAGGTTTAACAGTTGCTCACCTAGTAACACTTGTGCTTGTCACAGCGGTGCTGGAGGCAGGCGTGGTGATTCCTCCCACGTGCTTTAGTCCCAATCCCAGTAAAGCTTGTTATTGACACACTGTGAGAGATACCCCACGTGTTGGCACCTATTTTTAAGTTCACTCTGTGGTGTGAATGTGCAGCTGGCAGGAATTGGACAGTTCATCCTGGGCCAGCACGTTCTGTTTTAACTTCTGCTTTTCTAGGTAGGACTTGAATGCTGAAGAGATGCATCTGTCAACTTTGTTGGACGTACAGGAGAAAATCTTCTCGGTACAGAAGTGGGAAGTTGATGAATTAAGCTAAACCAGAGACTCCTAATGGTCCATTTCAGTTGCACGTTAGGAGGGCGTTTTAAAGAGCAGGGGCTGCAGCTGGGTCCCTGTGGCCGGTGTGGGGTTGCTGTGGTGTTTGAACCTGCAGCCCGTGGGCAGCCAGCAGTGGGTGTGTGGAAGGTAACGCCGTCTTCTGTGTTCCAGCTGTAAAGTTCGGCCGAATGTCCAAAAAGCAGCGGGACAGCCTGTACGCCGAGGTGCAGAAACACCGACTGCAGCAGCAGCAGCGCGACCACCAGCAGCAGCCGGGAGAGGCAGAGCCGCTCACCCCCACTTACAATATCACCACCAACGGGCTCACAGAGCTGCACGACGACCTCAGTAATTACATTGATGGGCATACCCCTGAAGGTAGCAAAGCAGACTCTGCAGTTAGCAGCTTCTACTTAGACATACAGCCTTCTCCAGATCAGTCGGGTCTTGATATTAATGGAATCAAACCAGAACCAATATGTGACTACACACCAGCATCGGGCTTCTTCCCTTATTGTTCTTTTACAAATGGGGAGACCTCTCCAACTGTGTCCATGGCAGAATTAGGTAATGAGAGAGAAAAGCTTCCATTCTAATTGTCTTAACAGTACCCTTTGGATTAAAGTGCCACATTTAGCCAGGTGACAGTGAGAATGCTGCTTCAGTAGCGCTGGGAGCATGTGTGGGCATCCTGCTGTGACGTGCACAGTGTCCTCATCTCGGGGTACACAGTGAACAACTTACCTGGCTGCATTAAAACTCCAGGGGCCTGGGGTTGATCAGCTCTAGGAGTGTTGCTTTTGCTTTCAAATCCTTGCAATAGAACCCTTTGAATACTGATTAAGGAGCTAATTTGTAGTGCTGAGCAAACAGACAGCGTATGGGTTTTTTTGTAGATTATTTTTTAACATTTTATCTCCTTTTTCATTACCTCAGTAGTCTTACTTCTGACAAAAAGTGATGAGGCTGATTTTGCTCTGCTCTTTACCTGGGAAATATGAAACCAAAGCACCAGACTAATCTGAGGGCACTTCTCCTTGCCACTGGTCGAAGAGAATCTGGCCCCAGATACTGAAGAAAATTTTTGAATGTAGCTAATTTTGATAAGTTCTCCAAAAGCCTTATAACAAACACATTAATTAGCATGTTCTACTTTAAACTCTTGCCTGAATGATTACAGTTCCACAACTGTGCCTTGTCAACAGCTGAGACTGGAGTTAGAACCTGCTGTGTGAACAGGTTATAAACAAAGAGGAACAGGACATGAGAGAAGTGGTCTCACAATTCTATTACTTCTATAAGCAGTCAGGTGTTTAAAACTGATTTTGCTTGCTTAAGCAACATTTTTGCTAATTATTTTAGTTATAAAACCCTAAAAAAAATAGTTTGAAAAAATCAGGTATTTCACATTAAAATGTTGTGTGGTTTATGTTCTTTTGAGAAGTTTTGCAGAGAGGAAGGCACAGCAAGGCTTACTTTGCAATGTCCTTATGTTGCAGAATGCTGTTGTCTGCAATACAATTGGTCCTGACAGCCCAAATACTACATCTGGCTTGAGTTCAAATAACTTTGGATAGGTAAAGATGAGCAGAAAAGGGCAGGTTAAAGGCAATGCTACCAGCTTTGTGTCAGTCAAATGGTTGCTAATTTTCTCGTGGAAGTTATTAAAAAGACTTACTTACATTAAACCCACAAAAAAAAGAAAGGGCTCTTCCTTTGCAGGCCAGGTTGTGAGTTTGGAACTGGCCTACAATGGGTTTGTCATGTTGCTTCCCTTTATTTACATTTAAAGGCTGCCCAGCGTGATTTGGGTGCCCAGCACTGACATTACTGACCAATGTTTGAAGAATGTTTGTCTGCCAGAGCAGGGTTTCAGTTTAGGAAGGTGTGGCAGTTCAGTGCAAGTATTTAGGTGTGTGCTGCAATACAGCCCAGAAGGGAGGCCGAGGCTTGGGAGTTCCATGGGAATAGTTCAGCTCCTGTGTCCTGCCAGGGCACGGGGGCTCTGCTGCCAGGGGCTGCTGCCCAGGACAAATGGTTGAGCTGCACACTTGTAAGAAAAAAGCAATTGTGCTGAAATACATCAAAGCTGTGATGACAAACCAAGGCTAAATTACCTTGTGTTCTGCCTTACTGATTGCTCAGGTAACACATGTAATCTGATTTTACCTCACCTGTCTTCAAAGAGGTCGTCTCTTACTTCCAACTACTCATGTATGAAGGATGGTGCTAAACAGACTGCTTGTCCAGCAGTTGTTTGTGAAGGACTGGGTTGGGTCACTGTCAAACAGAGCCCATTTCACAGATCCAGTGCTCCAGTCCCCCAGATCCCCCATGCTGTTATTGCCCACCATTCCTGGTGGGTTTAAGCCCTCCTTTTCAGTGGCCTAAGGGGCAGAATTGTGTGAGATAAGTCACAACACTGCCTGTCTCGAGCTCAAACAGCACATCAGGCCCGTGTGAAGAGCCAGGGTAGCAAAGAGAAAGGCAAAGTGGAATTCAGGTGTCTAAATCCCATTCAAGCTTTTGAAGGGGTTCCTGGAGGTTTATGGAACCAGGTTTTATTAATAAATGTAAATCTGCCATATAGTTCTTTTAATCAAGTATAGCAGCAGAAAATATTTTATTTGGAATGAAAACATTGTATGGAAATTTTAAATCGTGCAGTTAACTAAGCCTCTCTAAAGGTGAAGAAAAACCCTTAGTGATTTTTTAGTGAATTATCTTAATCATCTGGATTTTCAAATAGATATATTTTTCATATAATATATAGATTATAGTAGTAATAAGTATATTACATAACAATATAATAGAAGTAATTATAATAAATATGTACTATTTAATATACTAGATTTGAATATAATATTTGTTAATGATAGGAGAACAGGAAAAATGGCACTCACTGGCAGCCTGATGGGATTGAGGGTGTGACTGGCGGGGCAGGCCGGGCAGCTGCAGTGAAGGCAGCGGGGCTCAGCAGGGCTCAGCAGGGCACAGCAGGGCTCAGCAGGGCACAGCAGGGCACAGCAGGGCTCAGCAGGGCTCAGCAGGGCAGTTGTCACAGCTGCGGTGGTGCTGGGGGGTCCCGGTTCGGCCAAGCCCGCCCTGCTGTTGCGGGTGTGGATGTGGCGGTTCCCCTGCTGGCACCGCGTGTGCCGCGCGTCCTCTGGCGGCGGCCCCGGGCAGGCTGTGCGGGTTGGACGCTCTGCTGGGGCCGCAGCCCAGGGAACCCCAGGTACGGCGGCTGCAGTTTGTTATTTGCTCACGTCTGAAGCCACAGCTTTGCATTTCTAATGCGGGTCGCGCTCTGCTCCTTCCTTTAGAACATCTTGCACAGAATATTTCCAAGTCACACATGGAAACTTGCCAGTACTTGAGAGAGGAGTTGCAGCAGATAACATGGCAAACTTTTCTGCAGGAAGAGATCGAGAACTACCAGAACAAGGTATGAAAGCTCGCCAGGCCGTGGCACGGGGTTCTTTCAAGCATGGTGTTTCCGTAACACACTGCAAAATTCACTTCTTCACTGCTTTCTCTTTACTAGCAGGAATGTACGTTTCTGTGTGTTTTAAAAATGTGCTGGAATCAAAAGCAGCAAGATGGTCAGGAGATCCTTTGCATTTGTGATTTGTACAGGTATAGGAAAAGGCAAAGCCATTCTCCTAAGATCTGTGATAAAGGATAGGAAATCATAGGAATTTTTTCAATCCTAGATGGCATGTTATTTTTTTCTCTTAATTTTCAACCTCCTGGATCAACAACAGCACAAGCTGAAGCCACCAAGTGTTTATATTTTACATGGTGTGTTTTGTTTTGAGTTGATAAACACCAAACTCATTCATCCTCCAGTTGTCCCTCAGTGTCTGGGTTTTCCCTGTGGAATGGCAGCACATTGTCCATGGTGCTGCCACCCCACTGGGGTACAGTAAGATCTGGTCAGTGTTTGCAGTTCCAACGTGCCTTCCATCCACAAACTGCTGCCATTGGCTACTTGTGGAAAACTGTCCTGGGAAGCACTGCTAAGATACCTGTGCTTTGAACGTGTTTTTCATTTCCACAGAAAAATATTTAACCTGTAAGAATATCCTGTTTTCTACAATTAGGTAATTTCATTCTGCATTATTATCAACATATGACAAACTCTCCACTTACACACTTTCTTTATGTCATTCACAAGATGATCTTCATATACAATCATCTTTCTATGTGTCCTTCTGAAGATGAGCGAGGCAGATAATTTACATCCAGTACAAAACACAGAAACTGTGATTATTCTCTGCTTTTGATGCAGTGAATAAAATTGCTGCTGAAGTGACCAGAACCGTTACTTTGACATTTTTGGCTGTATATGGAATAAAAATACTCCAACCTGGATCTCTTCTGGCATGACTTGAAGAAGTCTTCCATGTTTGCATTGTCACTGCACACGAGGCTTTGGTTGGAGGTCAATTCCCCATTTTATCAGCAGACTGGAGCCAGGAGTGCTGGGGACAGTTCACTCCAGGCGTTTTTTGACTCAGTTTTCCTCGATGCCAAAGAGCTTTGCCAGCCCTGGTCAGTAATTTGTGCATCTCTCTTCTCTCCCACAGCAGAGGGAGGTGATGTGGCAGTTGTGCGCAGTCAAAATCACAGAAGCTATTCAGTACGTAGTGGAATTTGCCAAGCGCATTGATGGCTTTATGGAACTGTGTCAAAACGATCAAATTGTGCTGTTAAAAGCAGGTATGTGGGTCAGTTTTAAGGTCTGCTTCTGTTAGTTCAGTGGAGGAAGGTGTTACTTGTATATAGTGATTGCAAATGCAAATATTCATATGTAGTACAGTGATAATTTAAAATAGCATAGAGGGAAAACCTTACAAACTGTCTCAGCAGTGACATCATTGTAGTTACTCTGGATAGGAGGAGTTCCATTCTATTACTGAGCTTGCAATGTGAACAACGAGACTTTGTAAAGATGGAAAAGCTGGGTTCAGATTTTTTTATTTTGGATTACTAATAGTGAATTCCATATTTCAAGGTAAAAATCCAGATTGTTCTCTGCAAGAGATTGTAGAAGTAAGGCAGTTTACAAATACTGGACCAAGTTGTCAAAGCTTTGTAAATGAGTTGCTTTGACTTCAGAGACTTCATTACTCTGAAAAGAATTATTAGAGTTTATTAGCAATGACTAAGTTGCTTTAGCAAAAACTTCTGCAGGGGTTTATGGGAATTCTTTTAACTCCAGTAGCAAAGCAGGCTGTGCTCTGTTACACCACAGGAACCTCTTACCCTGCTCGATAGATGATGAAAGCAGAGCATTATTTTTAAACCCTCGCTCTTTGCAGCTGAAGTCTCGATTTTCAGAGTCAAACATCCACTGTTTCTGTTTTAGGGTCTTTAGAGGTTGTGTTCATCAGAATGTGCCGTGCCTTTGACTCTCAGAACAACACAGTCTACTTTGATGGCAAGTATGCTAGCCCAGAGGTTTTCAAGTCCTTAGGTAAGGAAATGTCAAGTGTTGTGCCTTAAAAAAAAAAGGAATAAAAATAATAAGGTGGAAAAGCAAGGGAAAAGAGCTGCTTTGAAAAAAATCAGGCTATAGTATTGAAATAAAAGAGCTGCAAAGCTCTAACTGCTTGTTTTGTAAGCAGTCATGCTGGCTCTGTTTGAGGCCAGGCTGATTGCAGGAGTTCAAACAGCTTCACTCTGTGCAGTAAAGGATTGATGGTGTTCAAATTCAACATTTGGATGAGGGTAGAGCAGTTTGCACTCACTTGTTGAGAGCAGAAGCCCAGATTTCATATTTAGTGTAACACTTTGTATATCCTGTTGGGAAAGGCAGCAGATTTTAAGGAAACTTTGCATATTCTGACGTTACTGCTTTGAAGACGTTAATGGTGTCTTATTACGGGCCAAGTCCAGTTATTTGCAGGTAAAACACTGTAAATCAATTTTTTTATTAAACCACAGTTCATAATTTTGAATTTTTTTCCTGTATATTCTTTCTAATTTTAAAGCGATGTATTTCACTGAGTGTAGATTTGGGCTGTTTTGGAGGGCAGTGGAAACACCTCAGTGGAGAATGAATGCTGTACCATCACTGAAGTGTTCTCTGCCTTCCTAAAACCCCTCGAGGTACAAGGTCAGAGTGCAAACAGTTCTGGGCTCCAGGGAAACACAGTTTGCTCTGTTTGCAGCTGTATGCAGAGGTTTAGGCTGGGTGGGGTGAGGTGTGCAGAGCAAAGCCCCCTTCCCTCAGGCTGGGAGGGCTCCACTCGTGCCAGCCCGTACCTGCATGTGTGGCAGCAGCAGTGACCTGGCTGACACTGTGTGGGCAGGAGGAGGGAGGGAAGGAGACACAGTTCCTCTGCTGCATGACAAGTGTTCAGACCTTGGCTTCCCCCTCTGCTCTGCATGTTCCTGTGTGCCTCTCTGTTCCCCCACTCCGTGTGCTCAAGTCCTGAAGCCAGCACTTTGTAAGGCCACATTTCCAGCCTCCTGTCCACACTGACACGAGAAAGCTCCATGTAGAACAGAACCAAAGCTAAACCAGTTTTGAGCTTGAAAATAAATGGCTTGAGATTCATGCATATTTGCCCCCCAAGAACCAAATGTAGCAAAGATCCAACGTGCAAAAGCTTCCAAACACTGGCTGTGGGAGCTGGGGACCTGTGGGAATGGGGTAATAAGCTCAAGGATGAGTGAGATCCCACTACCATCACTTCATAGTCCCTAAGGGGAAGACCATTCACCTGTGAAGTATTTTATATCTATTTCTCATCTGCATCAGAATAAATCAATAACTTTTTGGCTCTGAAGTAGTTTTAAACAAGGTGACATGAGCTGTGCCTTCTTTTTGGCAGGTTGTGAAGACTTCATTAGTTTTGTGTTTGAATTTGGAAAAAGTTTATGTTCTATGCACCTGACAGAAGATGAAATAGCTTTGTTTTCTGCGTTTGTTTTAATGTCAGCAGGTAAGAGATGAAGCTTTCCTCTGGCTTTGTTTGGGTAGAGGTCGTTTTTATTTTGACGTCTTTTTAATGGTAACATTAAGACTCCCAGGTAGTGTGGAAATGTCACATCTTTTGGAGTGTCTCCTTCACCAAAAGTTTTATTTTAATAGACACATTACAAGTGTGAATTTAGCGATCAGTTTAAGTTGGAAATCCTAATGTAAGCCCTTGTTTTCCACATTTTCACCTTGCTGAGGACTCAGCTTCTTTAGAAAAAAGCTGAAATGCCTGTGAGTGAGACCGCTGGGCCGATCCTGGTGAGACAGGCAGGAGGTAGGCAGTGAATTCACAGAGTCAGCTTCCCACATCTGAGTGCAGCTGCAGCAGCACTCTTGGTCACAGGACAGGAAGCCTCCAGCCCCACCTCAGCCTGTTGAGCAGCATTGCCCTGGTGGTGTGGTACGAAGCCCCAGGGGAGCTGAGGTGTCTGCCCCACTACAGGCCTGTCACACACAGAATGTAGCAGCTCATACTACATTTCTGCCACCAAGTTTAGGAGCTGCTTTTTGTTTTTTAATATCTGAATCTTTGCATCTGATTTTTCTGTAAGTCACTGGAGATCTTTGCAAGATCAACTCTTGTTCATTATATGATCTGTTCATTTTCCAGTGAAAAGTTAGTAGCTTCATTTTGTAAATACCCTGCATTTTACAGGCCTTTTTAGCAAATGACTAATAAATCTTACTCAGGTTCATTGCATTCTTCTAATTAAGGGCTTTATAAAAGTAATTTAATTGCATGTAACAATTGTGCTGCAGAACCTGTTAATTTTGAAGCTCGTTTTCTATATGAGAGCATGTAAAAGTGGCAGGCAGGGAAGATGACTGGCAGAGACTCAGTAGTTCCTGGTGCACTGGGAGCCCTGTGTGCAGTACTAGAGGTGTTAACTCCATTTATGTTCAGATCGCTCATGGCTTCAGGAGAAAGTGAAAATTGAAAAGCTCCAGCAGAAGATCCAGCTGGCACTTCAGCATGTCCTACAGAAGAACCACCGAGAGGATGGGATTCTAACAAAGGTAAGAGTCAGACTGGGCCACTGCACCTGACTGAAAATATGCCTTCTTATGAAGACTGTGCTCATCAAGGTGTAAAAGCTTTGACACAGTTCATTTGTTATTTATAAACCCCAAATTCTTTGTTCAAAATCAAGGTGCTTAGCTGACTATTTACCAAAAACCAGAAGAGGTGAAATGCTGATGTGGTAGGGAACAGGGTTGATAGTGGTCTGAAAGGAAGGATTTTGATGTGGAGCTTCATGAAAAGTGATGAAGGTTTTTTATCCTAGTTCTTCTACACGACTTTTCCGCCACACAGTGCTATTTTAGTTCTCCAAGATGCAGCCTTAATCCTTGTGGGATCTCTGCCTGCATGACAATTAAGTTTTTATTACATGCAATACCCAAACTAAACTTGTTTTTCAGACTTCATGAGAAGTTCCCCACACAGCCTTTTTCTCAGTTCTTCCAAATCCTGAAGCCTAGGGAAAAGGGACCCCACTTACTATTACGCTCATCTGAAGTATCTTCGCATAATTTTTCAGAAAAGAAAAAGTGGTGTGATGTTACAAGAAGTAAATCTGGAGAACTGAGTTAAAATAGGCCCTTGCTGGCAGGGGTAGTTCCTTCTACACCTCTGCACAGGCAGAAAGCTTCTGTTTAGTTCCCCACCACAGAATTCATTACAATAGAAGCAGGAGGGTCCAGCTTTGTGGATTTTCTCCATTTCAAATCCTGGCTCCTGGACTCCTTTTCTCAGTGGATACTTCGGATACCTTTGTTGGAAGGAAGTTTTTTCCATATGCTTTGATCCAAATGCTTTACTCAGTAGCTTCAGGGAGGTACCCGGATATTTTTGTGATATTCTTGAAGTACCTATTTTTCACCTTATTTGGTTTAAATAAGTCCAGTCTGTTGCATTGCCAGTTCCCTCCATAATACTCACAGTGGGTTTAGAAGCAGTTGGGCTGCCTTTTTCCAAGAGCATGATTTAGTTGAATGAATGAAGATCCAGCTCTGAGATTCTGTATCGATCCAGAGAGGAAACCTAATGATGCATTTTCCTAGGAACTTGGAGATTATTTCACAAACAGCCCTGAGTCCCTTGGGTAAATCCCTTTAACACCTCCCCGCTGTGCAGCTGAAGTGTCATTGCTGAGGAGAACAGTTGTGTTTGGGAGAGTTGAATCCTTGCAGCAGGATCGGGAGGGCTGGTTCCACATCTGACCATATGACTTTGTTCATCTCTTTACAGTTAATATGCAAAGTGTCTACTTTAAGAGCACTGTGTGGACGACATACAGAAAAGCTTATGGCATTTAAAGCAATATACCCAGACATTGTGCGACTTCATTTTCCTCCACTTTACAAGGAGTTGTTCACTTCAGAGTTTGAGCCAGCAATGCAAATTGATGGGTAAACGTATCACCTAAGCACTTCTAGAATGTCTGAAGTACAAACATTAAAACAAAAGAAAGGAAAAAAAAAGGAAAAAAAAAAAAGAAAGAAAACCAAGACACTTTATATGGCCCTGCACAGACCTAGGGAGCCAACACACTGCACATCTCTTGGCGGTCGGGGTCAGGCGAAGGATGGGAAACAATGACACAAAGTTGAACTTGTTTTTCTCATGCATATGATTTCCATTATGCCTACAAATATGGACCCTTTTTCTGTCTCAGCTTCTCAATCCTTGACCTCTGTTTACACAGACTGAGGGTACTAATGTCAGAAGGTTGTTTTCTCCTGTAGTTCACTGCCCAGGCTTTTGACAGAACAATCAATTTGTTGATCAGAACAGAGTCCACCCAATAATCAGCGACTGGTGTGAGGTGCAGAGATTTCAGCATCAGTTTGCACAACTTGCTCATTGTTTCATGAAGGACGATTTTTTTCACCTACCACTGTTTGCCAGTAGACAGAACGGCATGAAAAGGGTCCATAGCAATAGCAACAATAGCATTATAATATATTACAGGGTAAATGGGCATGAAGACTATATATAGCAAAAGAGATATTGTTTATATATTGTTTTAATTAATATAAAATGTAGTTACTGGTATAGCTTTTCTTGTTGAATTGATAAGGCACTTTCATTTTGCACCTTTTTTCTTTAAATTAAATGCTAGCGTGTTCATTGTTGTGTTGCATGTGCACCAGAAATTCAAGTTTAACTGAAAAAGGTTTGGCAGGTACTGGTACATTGGGAGGTATTTATGCTGCTGTTTTCCATGTTACTTTTAAAGAGAGGCTGGTCATATCCTGAAATGGTTACAGATTTTTTTAAAGAGTTGAAAATAATGACAATTTTCTACATAAAAATAATCTTTCCAGATGTTAAATTCAAAGGTACTTTTATTTTCACGTCTTTCAAACCTGGATGTTTAAAATCACATGCCTAAATTCAGATTTAAGTGCACAAATCAAAAGCCTCATTGTCAAAGGTGCTGAGTTTCCACTGTCAGAGTCAAACCAAGCAATTACAGCTCATTTCCAAATGAGTAACACAGCACCTCTGAAAATCAGGCTGGTAAATGGTGTGTTTGTGCCCACCGTAAATCCAGGTTTGAAGATACTTCCTCAAGTCTGTATCTACAGTAAAAGTATGTGTGTATGACACGTATGTGGAAAAGTAATTTTGATACATAATATTCCATACTTTTGCACTCCATATGGTAAACAATGCCTTCAGACTCACACTCAGCAAAGCCCAGAGGAGGTTTGACTGCAGGGAGATGAGATGCTGACCCCTGTTCTTCCAGCATCCAGCAGTTCAGCTCCAGGGAGCTGATCAGAGAAGTCCATTGCTCTCCTTATTTAGAAAGAAGCACTTTAAAGTTTAGCAAATGGGGACTAACAAAGGCACACTGTTGCTAGAAAGCATTGGTTCAACTCTGTATAATGGCTGGAAATCATTAATATCAGAAATCTGCATTCTGTAATTCTGATTCCTGCACTGCAGAACCAACCAATAGGCTGAATCTTGCAGTCTTATTAATTACATTCCCTCAAGGAAGAATTCTGTCTCTGAGCAAATCTGGCAGCAAACCCAGTGCTGAAGGAGGCAGATCCACAGTAAACAACCTTACAGACTGAACTGTGGCTGTTCGAGCCAGAGGTGTGTAATTGGGTTTGGATGAGATGGAGATGCATAACTGGATGCCCTGTGGGCCTACACAGAGGAAGTTTCTGATAAAGTACAAAAGAAAAAGCTGGGAACTTCAGAAAAGGAAAAGGAATGAGACAGAATGTGCTTTAGTTTCCAAGGGTCAACAATCTCATAGGTGTTACAGTTGTTGAGATGTAACACGTGAGGAGAAGCACACTGGAGCTAAGGAGTTTAGAAAGGAGAATGGGGTCACTGGGTTATGAGTAGCAAAATACAGGTTTATTCTGTGATTTGAACACGTTTCCTTTGGGGTCAAGTTGAGACCTTTAGCTGTGACCCCTGTTGAAGTGTGACAGTGTGGACATCAGGGAAGCTCAGAGCTGTCACTGCTCTGCAGGGTTTGAGGGAGGGGGACAGGAGCATCACTTTCCTCCCCAGGGCAGTGACCCCGATGTGGGAGGGCAGCACCTGCAGCCCTGGGAGCACTGGGTGGAGTCAGGAGAGGGCTCCTGGGAAAAGCCCCAGAGCCGTCCTTTGCTGCTCCATCCTGCTGCTCCTGGGGAGGGGGCTCAGCCCAGCCCATGCCCTGCCCATCCCACTGGAACGTCTGGAATCATTGTTTACTTTATTGGAGTAACTGGCACGATATGGTACTTGCATTCTAATGTCGGTTCCTATTTTTGAAGCAACCCTTTTAACTAACAAATGTTTTCTGAATGTGACCAGCCTTAGGTGCTAGTCCTGTAAAGATCAACTAAACTTAATCTCAGTGTCAACTAATGAGTACTGATGTAAGACCTGTACGTTGTTAGAGAGCAAAACACAACTCCTGCTTGTGACAATATGTAGAGTACCAGGTAAAATATATGGGGATTAATTTTCAGTCACATCCTTTCTCTTACCTTTTCCTGATTAATATTAGTACTTGACCAGGCACCTTGGTGCCAGTGGTTTTGTTTGGAATCTAGTTTGGCATATTTACACTCCTAAGTCATTGACAACACCATTTTTGGAGCATTTACTAATAAAATACATAACCATAAAAGGTTTCAGACAGGGCCTTAGCTGACAGTGATCTTCCAGGCCAGAAAGGGCTGTCATTTTGCTGGTGGGAGCTCCTGTGCTGGCCCCTTGTTAAATCAGGCTGTGCACACCCCCCCAGGTAACTCTGCTTTCCTGGTCCCAGGGAACAAGCACTTGGCAAAAGAGTGTAATTCTTGCTTTGCTCTCCATGGAGAGGGGAAGAAAGGGCTCCAGCCTGGCAGAGGTACTGATGAGACATCTGCCAAGGAGGCTTTTCTGAAAGGGTGGTGGCCGGTCAGAGGTGGCCCTGTGAGAACCAGCACAGCAGAGGAAGTGCATCTGCCCAACCTCTGGGACCGGGGCTGGTGTCAGGTGGTCACCCTGATACTCAGTTACAGAGCACACCTGAGGTCAGTGGATATTCAGGAGTATTGTCACAATCTGCCCAGTTCACTACAAATAGAACACTAGGATGGCTGAAGATAAAGGAATACATTAGGGTGTATGACCTGATCCTCAGAGTCTGCCCAGATGTTTTCATTGGGTTATATCTACCCATGGAGATGTTTTCTGGCTTTCTAGAAGGAGACACTGCCCTGTCATTGGAACCACCCTAATGTGTGTCATCCCCTCCAGCATTGTTTGACATTGAAAAACTATGGGATTAGGTAAAAAAGGGAGGCTGTTTTTAAGTTTGGTTGTTCTTTATTAGCTTCTCTTAGTCTGGATACCAAGATATCTGTGTATGTGCACCTGTGTGTGTGTGAGAGAGTCCATTGTGTGAGCACACGAGTGTTTGTGTGGGTCCGTGTGAGTGGCTGCTTCTAGGCTGTTCAGTGTCAATGAATAAAGAAAATGTATTCAAAATACTTAAGTCAAAATAGAAGGTGGAAAAAAGATTTATTCTATACAAAGCCTTGTCTGGACCACTTTAGAGAGACTTCTATTTTTTTAACCCTTCTATAAATGTTTGATGGCACTTGAAATATTCCTGCAATAAAATGTGATTTGTGTAAACATTAAAAAAAAAAAGATTTTGTAATGTGAAACAATGAAAGAAAGTAATGTAATTTTTCTAAAAAACAAAAAAAAACACAAACGAACGAACTTTGTATTATTTTCTTGATGGAATTTGTCTATTTGTCTTTGGAAAACTTTTTATTTCATTGAATGTGCCATAGTAGAGGTGTGTTTCTCTTTTTCTTTCTTTTTTTGGTTGTTTTTACATTTTAGATTAAAGGAATAGCTGTGTTCCGACATTCCAAAATGCAAGATGACATAGCAGTCACGATTAAAAGGTTTGATTAGTAAGCTTCAATCATTGTTGCTTTTTTTGCACATGTTCTTCATTCCTCTACAGTGCAATATGTACATAGAGCACTTGCGGGTGTAACCTTGATCCCTCAGGGAAAAATACATATTTGTACAGGATTTTTCTTTTTTTTGCCTTTTTTCTTTTATTTCCTCTTTTTTTCTTTTTTTTCTTTTTCCTTTTTTTTTTGCTAAGGAATGTCGATTGAATCACTTGTCTGTTGTTGAGGGGCAGCCAGATAATAATCCTAAACCACTGTCACAAAACATTGATTGTTCAAATTTTGTGCCCTTTTATTATTTAAAAAAAGAAAAATAAAAGTTATTTTCTGACAGTTCTTTGTGCTGATTGGTGAGAAAAAGGGTAAATAGATAAGCACCTTATGATTGACTTAACTGTGAATGACAATCCATCTCGTTTCCAACAAGAGAAGCCCTATCATTTTGGAGCTGGGGTTATGAGGCAGAAACTAATGTGCTCAGGGATCTTCTAAAACTCTTCAACAGGGTGGCCAGTACTGCTGGTGGAACAAATTGCTTTTTAAAAAATCTGCTCGTATTCCTTCCCTCCCCCTCCCCCCAGGCACAGGAGAACTGGATATTTTTGTTAGCTGTGTGTGCCTCGTTCTCTGAGTCACTTCTGCAGCACAGCTGCTTTTTGGTCGCTATTTTGTTCAAGACAAAACTCCAAACGGCGCAAAGGCTTCGCAGTTACATTTTAGGCAATAAAAGCTGACCCACTAAATAAAGGATTGAAATTAATTTCAGTACCCTCTGGACGTTTTTATAATGACAGGACTATTTTTCCAGCTGCAGTTCGGTGTTCTGCAACAGGAAATGGCTTTGCAGTATTTAAGTTGTCAAAGAAAACGGGTCAGTTGCTGGTAGTACATTAGGAGTGAAAAGGTCATGGTTAGGTGTCAGCAGTGGTGTCACATAGAAAGGGACACAGATCTGCAGGATCAAACGTTGTCTGTCGTTGTTGCAGGTGTTTCATGGTAAAGCAAAAGACCTGAGTGGAGAGAAACACTGAGGCTGAAGACACTGTCATGTGTAGTACAGCAGATACAGCCATTCCCAGGGATTTTGCAGTGGCACCAGCAGTGCCTGGGCAGTGTCCCAGTGCCAGGCTGCAGGATGCTGGAAGCCTGGCCCAATGAGCTGTGTTTGTGGCTTCACAAGAGCAGGTAACAACTGGGAGCAAAGGGAGCCAGACCTCGAGCCTTTGGTCACACTGGGGAGACAGGGACCTTCTCCATCAAACCTGTCTGTCTGCTTGCAGAAAGCACCAGTTTTCCAGCATCTTGGAGGGCTTTTCACGGGTATTTGGCTTCCAGCTGTTTACTTTGCTTAGGAAACAGGGAAACAAGAGGCTTCCCAGCTGCCAGTGAGTTTAGCCTGGGATGGCCTTCCCCAGCACTGCCCTCCTGAGCAGTTGGTGAGCTGCAGCTCCAGCAGGGAATTCCTGCTGCTGATCTCAACAGACCCCATTCTTTCCGTGCTGGCACATCAGTGAAACCTCCTCTTAGAATGGACAATCTGTCAGATGTTTAACTGTGCAGTGGGATGAGCCAAACATTACAGTATCTTTTTTTGGATTGGCATAGACAGTCCCCAGTCTGTACTGGATGAACCGAACAGGTTAAAGGATAAGCTGTTTGCAACCAATGTGTGTTTTTTTCCCTAGACATTCCTAAACTCCCCAATGTAGATAACCCTATTAATATAAATGGCAGAAACAGCATTTACTATACAGTATCCAAAAATAATACGCAGTTTTCTCTTGAGTATTCAGTTTATGAAATTCTACCTGTGCTAGTGATTCAGATTGCACAGAACACCTTTACTTTCCCTAGCTGGAGAAATATAACTATTAGAATTATTTTTTCATAATTAATACTAATATTTATTACTTTAAAAGTTTCATCCATTAATATATTTGAATATGAGCCTCCTATTTGCTTTTTGCTTAACTATTCCTGTCAGTAAATCATTTGGTGGAAATGAGGGCACATGCATACAGATACCAAATACAATAACAAAAAGTAAAGTTATCAAATGTAAAGGACTATTTATTTAAAAATCCTTGCAGTATTTGCTTTAACTCTAGTACTGTGATAATGGCTCGCTACATAATGCTCAGTCACTGGACTTGGGGGGGAAATGTGTAACATTTAGGAGAATATACAGTCTATCTTTGGAACTTCAGGTACTAAATAGAATTTTAACATCAAAACAGAAGCTGTATTCTACCTTTTCCATATGTAGTGTTGCTGTTTGTATTTTTTTTTTGCCTTTATCATTGGTAGAATATAGCAATAACTTTATAGCAATAAGTAGGCTATCCAAATAGGAAACAAAACATGATAAAGGCTTCAGATCAATACTCATGGGTTCACTTTTTCTGCCACATGATTCACTTGTATGTCTTCCCTCATCATCTCATTACTTCTCCAAGCTGAGCTTCACCATCAAGTTGTCCAGCTTGAGGTGTGCCATCCCCCCTCTGTTACATGTTACATGTGCATGCTGTGGGTGTTCCCCCATGCTGTGGGTATTGTTTTGCCGTGTCAGTGTTTCTCAAGGGTTCTCAAAGCACGGGCTCGGGCGCTGTTTCTTCACAGGGCTCTCCCTTTGCTGGAGCTGTGGTCAGTGGCAGTCTCCTCACTGAGGGAGCCGAGCAGCTGTTCCTGGGAACTCTGGGCTGCTGCAAACGCTGGCAGCCCCCAGGCAGCTCCTGCAGCTGCCCCAGTGTGGGGCTGAGCTGCATCTGCAGCTCCCTGGCAGTTGTTCCCTGTGCCAGCACATCCCCTGCCCGTGCTGGAGCCCCGCTCTGCTCCCCCAGCGCAGGGTTCTCCCTCAGGGGCTCTGGGAAGGATCTGAAATCTCCCTCAGCGCAGGGTTCTCCCCTCAGGGGCTCTGGGAGGGATCTGAAATCTCCCTCAGCGCAGGGTTCTCCCCTCAGGGGCTCTGGGAAGGATCTGAAATCTCCCTCAGCGCAGGGTTCTCCCTCAGGGGCTCTGGGAGGGATCTGAAGCTCTGGCAGTGCTCAGGTAACCAGCTGTGACTCCCTTTGAGAAACGCTAGGCCGGGTCACCCCGCAGTGTCAGTGTGGAGCCACAGCCCTTGCAGGACCTGGCAATCTGTAATCTCATCTCTGCTAAGGCGGAGAGTTCCTAAGCAATACAGTGAATTGTAGTTCACAACAAGGCAAACGTACTGTACACCTTTGGAAATCCAAACGCTCCTCATTTCTACACTGATTTCCAACAAGTCCCAGAACAGTGGTCAATGTTTGAAGTATTAGGACATTAACTGGCTGCTTCTTTCTGTGTAACTGTATTGTCTGCCTGCTCCTTTTCTGGAGAAGTGTTTTTGTATTGGATGTTTGGGCCAATGGGAGGCTTCAAGCTACAATGTATTTTCCCAGATTAAATATATTTAACGTATGACAAACCCCAGACAAGGCTTTTTAAAATGTATAAAGAACTGCAGTGTTAGGTGGTTTATTTGCAAACTGTTTTCAATGTTGTCCATTTTTATGGCACCTTTAACAATATTCTTGTTTCCAAAGTACAAAAAAAAAGGTTAAAAATACTCTAGCCATAACTGAATGTCAAGCAATAAAAACAAATGACTTTTTGTGCATAGATTTAAAAGAAATACAAGTTTTAGACATCTGCATGTAAATGCAATCTCTTGTTTACTGCTTTCTTAAACTTGAGCAACTGATTCCTTATTTTACTACTAATTTAAGGACTTGTAATGGCCTGTAAACATTTTATCTTGCTCTATTCTTTCAACTCTAACTTTGTCTCTGCTTTGGAGTCATAATACTTAATGTTGTTCTGCTCACCTCTATACAGTTAACTTTTTGCTTTTGTTCTGTATAGATAAAGTTATACTATAAACAGCCTACACAGTGCAAATATTTATCTGTTTATCAAATACCACATTATGCTGTATAATATCTGTTTTACTATATAATCTATTTTAGACATAGCTGTTTAGAACTAGAGTGTGCTATTTTTGTGTTTTTCTGATGTGTGGTGCTAGATAAGTTACTTTTGTGAACAAAAACAAACAAACCCCTTTTATTCCTAGACAATACCACCTTTGGGTCTTGTTAATTTCACTGAGTATAACTATATATAAATATATATATTTGTGTATATATATATATACACCAACATATGCCCAACAAGTACCTGTATCAGAGTACAAGATTTGGGACATGGTTTTCTCTTTAAATGCATAGTGTCATTATATAAATTATTCTATAGTATATTTAATAAGGAGAAAATTACTTCACCGGTACAGATACTTGATATCAAATGTAGAATTTTTTTTTCTACATTATTAACATTATTAATTATTAACGTTATTAAAAATGTTCTGTCCAACTTGTTATCCTTTCGGTTACTAAAAGAGTCTGCCTGCATTGTATCAAACCCAAGACAAACACCTGCCGTGCCAGTCCAGAGCAGTGGCAGGTGCTGGCTGTGTGGAAGGGAGGAGGTGCTGTGGAGTTGCCCCAGGGCTGTAGCTGCTCTCTGCTGGGTGCCCTCCTCCTGCTCCTGGGAGTGGCAGCTGAACACGCTCCCACTGCCACTGCGCGGGGTGTGCCCGGGCCAGGCCTGCTCTGAGCTGCAGGGGCTGCAATAGGAACGCTCTGGAACTCTTCCATACACATGCATGGCTCAGTTCCTCCTTGGATGTGCTTTAGAACCAGGCAGCATATCCAGGGACAGCCAGTAGCAACTAAAGTTCATTAAGAAGTGGAATTTGCAACGTTTTGTCAGGTATGGGGGTTTTGTTTCTCTTTTTTCATGTATACCTTAATTTACGTAGCCATGTACCCTTCAAAGTACTCCTGTCCCCCGTTCCCTTCATTCTAGATATTGTTTTCATGTTCATTCTTAAAAACTGATGGATATCAAATATCTAACTAAGGAGGTAATTAACCTTTTAAATATTTATTAGAATTTTTCTGTAATATTACTGAATTTATAAGATCTTTAGCAAAGATTTTTGAGCAATTTATTAATAACAATGTTTCTGTTTACTGCACTTTTTGATAATAGAAGGTAGTGAATTTTAAAGCCATGGTTCTTGGCTTCCATGCACTGCTTTTATACCCTCAATCCAAGGAATATATATATATAAATAATTTTTTTTAAACAGCAAACATACTGTTGACCTAAAAACAAATACAAACTTTACTGCACCGTGGGTATATTTTCATAAGTGGAATGTTTAACTGCAAACACTATCAGGACAATTATAAAAACCTCTTGAAGCTACAATCTTATTTAAATATAAGCCATGACAATTTTATTTTCCCTTGTTGATTTAAGTCACCTTTTGATATTTTCAAAGAGAAAAGGACTCACTCTTAAATTTGTACGTTCCAACCTCCAGCTAATGCCAGGAACACGTTCCCCCATTGTCCGAACAGTTTGATATATTTATGCAAAACCGTTTGGGTAACATTTGTCCTCCCTCTTTACTAAATATTCAGTGTACCAACGCCAGAATCAATGCTGATTACAAACACACATCAGATTGAAGATTAAGCACACAGACTTAAAAAACCTCGTTGAGTGAAACGCTCAGATTTCTGTAAATACACACAGGCTGAAATGCAATGATACTGTACATGTAAATATGTGCTGTCTGTTATGTGTACAGTATGTATAAATTCCTTTTCTAGCCACAATCAAGTGTAAGCCATCAAGAGGAATACTAAAGTGGTATTGTACTAAACCTTTGCTAATGATCTTTACCCAGTCACTTCACTTGTCCCCCTCATGGACCTTTCCAGCTCACTCCTACAATAGCCTGCTTATATTCGAGTTTGTTATTTTACTCGGTCCCGAAAAAAGTATTTTGATTCATTTTGTAAATATGACTGTAAAAATAAGAGATTTAATGTTGTCTTTTAAATACTCCAATTTTCATTCTAATATGAATGTTGTTATATTGTACTTAGAAACTGTACCTTTAATATTACATTACCTTTATTAAGTGCATTGAACACATCGATTTTAGATGTGCTTTATGTACTGTTATCCTGTAATAAAACTTCAGCTTCTAATGGAAAAATCTGTCTTAACTTTTTGTCGGTAGCATCTGCTTGTTTTTCTGAGCTGTGGTTAGGAGGTTTATTCCTTAAGGAATGCACCGATACAAAATCAGGCTGTGCTTCCAAGCCCACGTGTCAGAGCTGTGTTCACACAAAGATTTGTCAGCAGGGAAACAGCACAACTCCTGAATGCCTTTTAAGCTCCCCTTTTGGCCAACAAGAGCTTTAACCCTTCTCAGAATGGATGTGGATTAATCTACCTTCCCTCTCCTTGGAGGTGTCTTCATGTTTGAAATCACAAGGCCCTCCCAGGGACCTTCCCAGTAGAATTACCACTTTGGGATAGATCTAAATGAGGATTTGGATATCAGGATTGAAGTTTTAATACGGTTTAGGCATCAAGAATTAAAGTTGTGACTCCCCTCTGCTGTGCTAACCTTGGGAGCACCTGAGCATGTCAGCAGCGTGCTTGGTCTTAAGACTTGGGGCCTGTGAACTTCCCCTTCTGCACCCCCTCAGCAATGCCTCAGTCCTGACAGACTTTTAACAGCTCAGTGTTTGTATGCCTGGCCATGACTCAGAAACAGACACTAGCATTCATCTTGGAAGCACTGGATCTGGGAGCAGCTGCACCTACAGATCAGCTCCCCAGAAAAAGGAGTGGAAGTGGGAACTCTCAGAACTGCAGCAGCTCCCTGTCTGCAGCAGAGACACTGAAACCCCACATTTCACTTTCTCATCCTCAGGACGTGATTGCTGCCCAATCTTTCCAGTCTCAGGAGAGCTCCTAACCACGAGACAGAGGTTAGGCAGCAACTACAGAAAGAACCATGTAAGTTCAGTATAAAACCCAGGAGGTTTTCTGAAGTGAGAGACAGGCTGAGGGCTCCTGTCCGTGCCTGGAAGGAAAGCTAAGCTGTGCATTTGGAGGTGGTGGGTTTGATCCCTGATTATTTCACAGAACTGCTGAGGGTGGCAGGGCCTTCCAGAGGGCACGGGCAGGGCCACCTAGAGCTGGTTGTCCAGGACCATGCCCAGCTTTTGAGAATGTCTCCAAGGATAGTGCCCCCACAGCCTTCCTGGGCAGTCTGTGCCGGTGTTTGTCACAGTGGAAACGTGTTCCCTGATGTTTGTGTTTATGCCATGGGAGTAAAAAGATCACGTGCAGGAAGTAGCACCATTTTATAAAAAGCAAAAAACCAAAACACACCACCACAACACCAAAAATTCACCAAGATAAGCCTCCTGGTCATTCAGCTGTGTCACTGGTGCCATACCTGGGCTGGGCAGTGAGATCACTCGAGGCTCCTCCACCAGTGGGCTCTGGATGGGTCCAGCAGGGACAGGAAACCTTCCCGCTCCTCTGAGATACACAAATGGAGAGAGGGCAGAATTAAAATCAATGGCCTTAAAAGTGATCTGCAAGCAAGCTGAAGACCCCCTTGTTGGTGGGTTTGGAAATCATTCTGAATCATCTCTGTGTTCTCATGTATTTGTGTGATAGTGCCCAGTTTTAGTCCCAGGACACCAGGGGGACACTGCTCCACGTCCCATCCTCACTGCCCTCATTTCCCCACCTGCAGAGCAGTGACGGGTCACCTTTTTGTTGTAACATTGCAGGCAAACGAGTTTCCATCACCCAAACCTATCGGTTCTGACAGTACTGGACGGCCGCGAGAGGAACGAAGCTGAGGAAACGGCCCCAACCCCTCAGGTACGGGCTGGGCGGCTGAGGGTGCCGCTGGGGACACCCGCCCCCTGCTCAGGGCACACCCCCTTCTCAGGGAACACCCCCCTGCCCGAGGCACACCCCCTGCCCAAGGCACACCCCCTGCCCAAGGCACACCCCCTGCCCGAGGCACACCCCCTGCCCGAGGCACACCCTCTGCCAGCACACCCCCTGCCCAGGGCCCCACCTCTGCACAGCCGGGGCGGGACGCGCCGCTCAGAGACCCGCCCGCCGTAACATGGCGGCCCCGCCCGCCGTAACATGGCGGCCGCCCCTGAGGCGCCGCTCCCGCCCGCGCTCCCATTGGCTGGCTCGGAGCACCTGACCCGCGCGCCGGGCGCTGATTGGCCGGTGCCGTAAGGGGGCCAGCCAAGATGGCGGCCGAGGACCCGCTGCTGAGCTGGTGAGTTTGTTACCCGTCCTGACCGGGCGGGGCCGCGGGACACGGCAGGGACAGCGGGACACGGCCCCGGGGACAGCGGGACACGGCAGGGATAGCGGGACACAGCGGGGATAGCGGGACACGGCGGGGACAGCGGGACAGAGCAGCCCCCGCCCCGCCGGGCAGCGCCCCAGCGCTGAGGGCGGGCGGGAGGGAGGGTGTGTGACCCTTCCTGTGGATCCCTTCCCTGAGGGGCTCCGTGTCCGTGTGTGCCCACCCAGAGGGACAGCGAGGGCTTGGGAATCCGGGGCCGGGGCGTTGTTCGTGTTTCTAACACGAAAAGCCCCGCAAAGACGTCATTCGGCTCCTTAAACCGAGGGGCGGGATGGGTTTGAATTAGTTGGTGAGGTAAGACGTAAATAAATCCTTTCTTACACCTTTCACAATAGCTAGGAAGGTTGATGTCGTATAAACCTTGTACACTGGAAGGGCTACATTAAAAAAAAAAAAAAATCGAATGTAAGATCACTGTAGAACACAAACCCAGCTCTTTTATAGAAAAAGAAAAAAAACCGGTGTATGTTTCTCAAGAATTCCAGCAAGTTCAACCCAAAGTTTGGTTTTTATTAATGAACGTATGAAAGTGTGTAACTCCCATCACTTTCTGTCGCCACATCTAGAATCTGTATATTGTATTAGTGAAGCTGTTCTTTTGTAGTGTAAAGAACGTGTATTTTACTGTTGAAAACCAGAAGGAATTAGTACATCTGTAACTTCCACAAAGAGGAAGCCTGGCAACACTGTGTAGGCATCCTCTTTTATTTTATAAATTATTCTGGGTTTTGTTTGTTGGGGGTGGGTGTGGCCTTTAATTTTTTTATATTGCAGTGTTTTTTTTTTTTTTTTTAAACTAGGGATATTACACCAAAAAATGGCCAAGAAGTATTTTTCTCACATGAACTTTATGAAAAATATTCCTTGTCTCCAAGCCTGGCTGAACTGTGGCATTTATCCAGAAGGTATATTGTGTTACATTATCCCCTGGTGCTCTTCGTTATCATCCATGGATAGATGTTCCTACTGTTCTGGGGCAAAGCTGCCTGTTCTCTGGCACACGGGGATTTGTTGCTGACTCCTCCAGCGGCTGGTCTGTGCTTGAGCTGCTGTGGGACCTCCCAGAGCAGGAGGAGTCCAGGTTGGGCCCTCCGGGATTCTGTGTCTTGTAGGGGGTATTTTGGGGGTTTGGGGATAGAGGTTGGGTTGTGTTTTGGGGTGGTGCCTGTTGTTTGCTGTCTCTCAGCTACCAAAGAGGAATGACTCATAACTGGTCAGGGTGAGGGGCCTGTCACCCACAAACCACACCTAGAGCTTTTTAGGGATTCATATCGTGCTGTCTGTTCGTGTCTTCCACTTTGTTGAAGGGTGACAGTCCCGTACACTGAACTGCTTTTCACTTTTGGAAGGAGGCAGCACTGTTTTCATAAACCCAACTCCATAGGTGCAGTGGAGATGCAGTTAATTCCTTGATTATTGCAGAAACTCTACAGAGCATCAGCTGAATGCTGGGAAACGAAACTGTGTGAACACAGGTGGTACAGGCAGTGTCTGTGCAGGTTTTATGTCCTTTTTTCCCTTAAGGAAGCAGAATCAGTGTTTATTTTGCATAGTGAAAGGCCTGTCTCGTGCTGCCGGATTTGAGTATTTGGGGGGCTGTATTTAGACCACTGGTTTTCCTCAGAAGTTGTGAAGCCGGTAGGGAGGTGCAGGTGTCTGCTGGGGAGTGAACAGTCACACCACAAAACCACCCCAAGTGGCTCCTGAGCTCCAAGGGGGAGGTTCAGCATGGGGGCAGATAGTTTGTGCAGAAGGGGAATGACTGTATTTTTATGAACTGACAATGAGGACGTGCCACTTGAGTGGAAGACCTGCTCTCTCTATCCCACATCTTTAGCCAGAGAAGGCTTTTCTGGTTCATCTCTGTTGGAGCAGCTTTCCTTGGAACGGGCAAGAGATGAGCACAGCTCGCTGCTGGCACACCTGACTCAGCTGTAGGACTCTGCAGGGTGTCTGGAGCAGACACTCAGCAGTGGGATTGTGTTCAGCTGTGAGTGGTTCAGGTGGGTTCAGAGCCAGGAGAGGCCAGACAGTCTGCACCTGGGAAAGATCAGGAACTGGTGGAACTGGGCTGTGTGGCCGTAGTCAGGGGCAGGGAAATTAAACCTCTTGGAGCAAATGTGAAAGGAAAAGCTGGAGGAAATCTGCCAGTTTTTCTCTTGGGGTTTCTGATAGGTGTTTGCTGCAGTCTTGGTGTAGCAGCTGGGAAGGCAGGGTGCTGCTGAAATGGAGGGGGGAAGTTAAGCCGTCAGCTCCAGTGGAGGATAATGCTGTAAATATGGGCAGAGAAGCTCTGTCAGATTATTTTGGTTTGCACCCCGGTGAAGCCTGTGACAGCATTGCATGCTGAAATGATCTTGATGTGCTGCCATTCCATTCAGTGCTGAATACAGCCAATTTGAGCTGCTAGAATCTCTTGATGTTCCTACATTGGCATATCTGAGTCAGCATCTTGTCGCTGCTCCAGCTTAATTAAATTTGCCAGTTTGTGCCACGGGGATGGACACATCCCTGTATCCAGAGAGACAGCTGTGAAGTGTTATTAAGAGCTGTGGATGTGATACTGCTGGGTTTGAATGACACTAGAGATGTTTCCTACTGCTGAAATGCTATCTTAAAAATATGCTTTTTCCAAGATCAGCAGTTAATGTTCATTTTGTCTGCCTTAAGTATTTTCTCTCTTAAGAACAATTATTTTAAATAGAGCAGGGCTCAGCTGGTCGGCCTTCGTGCACTGGAGTTGTTTTAGGGACCAGCTTTGTTGTTGTTAGGGCAGCTGTGCCCCTTGCCCTGGC